TAATCAAAGACTAAAGCTTTTAAACGTTTCATTGAAGTTGGTATATTTAAAGCGGCAGGAAGGTTTGTTGTTCATACAAACAAATGAAGCCGGCTAATCAAAGACTAAAGCTTTTAAACGTTTCATTGAAGTTGGTATATTTAAAGCGGCAGGAAGGTTTGTTGTTCATACAAACAAATGAAGCCGGCTAATCAAAGACTAAAGCTTTTAAACGTTTCATTGAAGTTGGTATATTTAAAGCGGCACAGATATAACACTGAAGTTACGTGAGGTTCTGTGAAAGTAACCTAATTCAACGAATAGGATTTTGTTTTAAAATAGTTTTGATTGGTTTAATTTTTTTTCTTGGAGTATTTTTAGACAATTTTTAAACGCAGTTGAACGATAACGAAACCAATACCACCCATAAATCAGCTGAACGTAACGAAACCAAAATCAGCTGAACGAAACGAAATCAAAATCAGCTGTACGAAACGAAACTAAAAGCAGCCATGAATCGTTTAAAAATATGATGTTACTCTATTTGAAATGATGTTCCAAATGTAATAAGTTGTTAATGTCAGTAGTCATTCTGATTGTTTCAGTAAAATCTATCTTTATAAATGAGAAATGAATGTTACAGTCGCTTTAATCAGGTCGTTACGTGTTCGGTGCGTCTGTTAGTACTCATTATATAGAAAAGTTCTCCTTAACAAAAATAAATCATCCCCAATGAGTCAGCGGTGAGGTAATGGACTCAGAACGCTATAGTTCGAGATTCGATTCCATGCGACAGATAGAGCACAGATAGCCCGTTGTATAGCTTTGCGCTAAAAACAAAATAATACATTGCCAGTTTTCTTTCCAATCTCCCCAGTGGCTCAGCGGATAATTTGAGGCCTTATAACGCTAAAAACCCGCTGTGCCATTAAAAGTGTAACCCTGATTCTATTTCAACAGTTGTTTTTACTCCTAAATTTAATGGGATTGATATTTTAGCATGCTTATCTAATTTGTTTCAATAAATAAAAATCCAAAAAAGTTTTAAACTTTCATTCACCAAGATTGTGTGAACGGTAAACATCACATTTCTAGAGTTCATTTGAAATTTGCTATATAACGTTCAATTGTCTCTATTTAAACCCAAATTCAACACACTTAACCTGTTGACCAGTCAACATCAAACCAATACTTCGTTTTAAATGATAACTGTTTACCATTTTTTTGTGCTCACCATATATATATTTCTGCATTTAGAGAGTAGCTTTTATTGTAATACTACTTGGGACGGAGTATCGTGCTGGCCTACAACAGTAGGTGGCGTCAGCGCAGATATCTCGTGTTTTGGTGAACTTCACGGAGTCCGCTACGACACCAGTCGTAAGTACAAAAATGCATCTTACTAAAAAAATTATATTTGAACGATTTATCTTTGGGGAAAATAAATCATTGCTTAACGGTGAAAAATCAAAATTTATTAGTAAAATTTTTTATTTAAGCTAAGATTTCTATTTGTAAATAGCTTGGTGTTTTCTTCCTTCTTAATCTTTATTCGTACAATAAATTTGATTTGATTTTCTTGAGAAAACTCTTTAGTTTTACGATTAACATAAGTTTTAAATACGTTTATTGTTTAAATCATGAACATGAAACCATTTATCTCCTAAGTATGGGCAAGATAACTAGATACTGATATTGTTGTGTATCATGAATAATATTCAACGTTAAACTGGTACACAATTAGAAACATTTTATTTAGACCTATCTATGGCCTTCAAAA